ACCTTCTGGCTAGCAGCCAAGTGTGTCAACCATTTGTGTCAACCAGAGACTGTCATGAAAATGATTAGGGTGTGCAGCATGAATGCATTAGGGCAGTATGAAAATCAGATTGTCTGGGGCTAGGAGAGCCATTGTAGGTTCAATGACCTTCTCCTCAGGAGTGTGCCATTAAGAAAGGAAGCCATGTGCTGGGGGAGGGAGGGATTAATCATGGAGTTGTACAATTTGATGGGTAAGGGGTAAGGGAAATTGAAAGAATCTGTTCTGGATAACAATGTATTAGAATTTTATGAATAAGCTAGTATAACAACAACAAAAGCCATAAAAATAATGTAAGATAAGTGATAAGTAGGATAGTGGTGTAGTGGTTAGATGTTCAACTGCTAACCTAAACGTTAAAAATTAAAATCTACCAGTTAGTCTGTAGGAGAAAAAAGTGTCAGTCTACTTTTGTAAATACTATAGCATTGGCAATCCTATGGGGTCATTCTACTCTGACCTGTTGGGTAACAATGAATCAGAGTCAACTTGACAATGAGTTTGGTTTTTTCTTTGGTTGTAGGAATTTTTTTGGGTGGAATAAGTAAGGGACAGACTAGTAGAGTGTATGAGCCAATGTGAAGAAAATGTTGAATGAGCTGGTGAGCAAGAGAGGAGAAAAGACAAAGGATTTTTAAAAATTTTGTGAAAATATGACATAATATTAAGTTAATCTTTCTAATTAGCTTTCAGGTTCCTGCGTTTCAAGCTGGACCCTCAATTATGTCGACATTTCCCACTCAGACAGCCTCCAGTAACAGCACTTCAATGGCTCCCACCTTCTTGCTGGTGGGCATGCCAGGTCTGTCAAGTGTACCATCCTGGTGGACAATTCCTCTCATCACTCTCTACCTTCTCTCTGCCCTGGGAAATGGTACTATCATTTGGATCATTGCTGTGGAACCCACCCTACACCGTCCTATGTACTTCTTCCTCTTCCTGCTCAGTGTGTCTGATATGGGCTTAGCCACAGCCCTAATGCCCACCCTGCTGGGTCTCGCCCTTGCTGATGCTCACGTGGTCTCTGCTCCAGCCTGCCTTCTCCAGATGTTCTTTGTTCATGTATTTTCTGTCATGGAGTCCTCTGTCTTACTCACAATGGCCTTAGATAGAGCATTGGCCATCTGCCGTCCTCTTCACTACCCCACACTCCTCACCAATGGTTTCCTTGGTAAAATTGGCCTTGCAATTGCTTTTCGGTGCCTAGGTCTCCATCTACCCCTCCCATTCCTCCTAGCCCACATGCCTTACTGTCACCCACAAGTCTTAACTCATTCTTATTGCTTGCATCCAGATTTGACCCGTCTGGCCTGTCCAGGAACTTGGGGTGCAGTCTACAGCCTCTTTGTGGTACTATCAGCCATGGGAGTGGATCCCTTGCTTATTTTCTTCTCCTATGGCCTAATTGGTAAGGTCTTACAAGGTTTGGGATCCAATGAAGAGCGCTGGAAGGCTGGTCAAACCTGTGCAGCCCACATCTCTGCTGTATTTCTCTTCTACGTGCCCATGATCCTACTGGCACTTATTGATCGTCTTAGGCTGCCAATACCTCAGCCTGCCCATACTCTTCTTTCCTATGTCCACTTCCTACTTCCTCCAGTATTAAATCCTATTCTTTATAGTGTCAAGATGAAGGAAATTAGAGAGAGAATACTCAAGAGGTTGCACCACATGAACGTGGGTTTTATTCAGTAAAGAATATGTCCTTCCATGTAAAGGTTTCCATGGCCATACTTGAAATAGTTACTCAGGTTTATGGAAGGGTATATTCATATAATATCTGCCTGTTCCTAAAAGTATACATGTGTGTACATTGATGAATTCTTACAAGTTCTAAGTAATAATAATGATAGAGCTAGCTACTGTTAACATTGTGAATGAAAAAGGAAGGACCAGCATCTAAGTTTTGGCACAACTAAGTGGTTTTGGTGGTGGTGTTATTAATTTCTTCACTTTATCTGTATTGCCAGATAACTGAATGAACTAGAATATTTAAGTATTAACAAATCAAAGGAAAGAGAAGACTTAAATATTGTGCTAAAAGAGGAAGTGTAATTTATCAGTGTTGGACCCTAATGAGAAATAAATATTCTAACTTATCTTTAGGAATTCAATGAATAAGTCAGTCCTTTCCATGGGCAGATCAAGCCAAGAGATGTGGTGTATATGTTGAATCAGACTTGGACAAATAAGAAAGGAGAGATTTTCAGATTCATTTTGTTTTGAAAGTGTTATAATGTTTAAATAAATAAAGGCATATTTAAATATTTCAAATAATTTAAAGAAGCAATTTTGATTATATAATTATATCATCCAAATATAACCACTATTACCATTGCTATATGAGTAACAAAACATATACCATATACATTTCAGTGGCATTAACTGTATTCACCATGTCACCACTATATTTTTAGGGATACCAAATAAAATCTAGAGTTTACATTTGGGAGAATTTATGTAATAGGTGAAATCATTGGTCTCAAGTTTTACCTCCTAATAGTAATATTATACACCCACACCCTTTTTATGAAAGAGTAAATAGAATGTGTTTATACTTCATATGACTTTGAACTTGGATGCAAACTTTATGGTGAAAATATTGTGTCATAAGTAATTTCCTAGATAGGTGCTACTCCTTCAATCTCCCTCATCCCTAGATGAAACTAAAGGAACAGACTACTTGCCCAACATGCAGCCTAAAATCAATCCTAGACTATGAACATATAAAGACCTAAGTAGAATCATCAAGACAAGGTATCTTAAATCAAGAGGATATCTGTAAACCTAACACCTGATGACCATGACAACTGAGATTTTGTGGTTGGTATCCACAAAAGTGGATTAAGACAGCCTTACATAACATGTTTGCTATTTTATTCTATAAAAATATTTAATTTACTAATGTATTTTTCTTGATGTTCATAAGACTTTAACACCCACCTATGAAAACCTTAACTTGTTTTTAGCAGAAACTTAGTGTATCATTCGGCATCTTCCTTTAGTTGTGTTAGATATTCCTACAAGTCAATTAGTATGAATGTAATTCATTGAAATACCCATGTAATATTCCATAGTATGGATAGATGGACTGAAACTGTTTTTTATGGACACATTGATGAACATTAGAATTGTCTTGTCTTCAAGTTTCCTATGTCCTATAATAATAATAAACATCCTTACCTATTTTGGAGATCTCATAATTTCATTTTAAAGACTTAAAACTATCTTAGTCAGCAACAAATACCAAACTACAATCAGCACTATAGCTGCTTCTTTGTATCTAATAGCCCACTTGAAGAAAAAGAGCCTTTGTGTCACAATGATCAAAACACTCAGATAAAATGAAAGGTCTGAAGTTTGAACCTGCAAGCTTCTCTGTGGGAGAAGCATGTGGTAGTCTGCTCTGTAAGGATTTACAATCTTGGAAGCCCTATGGAGTAGTTCAGGTCATTATATATCAGAACCAATTTGATAGAAATGGGTTTGGTTTTTTATAAACAAGAGCAAAGAACTCTCGTCTTCACAGCAGAGTCTTCACTAGTATCTACTGGTTCTTCCTCTTTCCTGGCTACTGGTAACATCCACACCAAGACTGTGAAGACATCTTAAGATGTTGTTGACAATCTCAGGCAACAGAAAGAAATATTCCCTTTCTCATTCATATTCATTCATTCATTTCATTCATTTTCTTTCTCTCTCTCTCTCTCCCTCCCTCTCCCTCTCTCTCTCCAGACTAATCTCTCACCTCAATTTGATTGATAAATTTAGGAAAAAGCATTTTTCCTCCAATCTGTGTAAAATAAAAGTATTACTGTGAATATTAACACTTGTAAACAAATTCTAAGTCATACAAGAAGTTGGGTGGAACATCAGATTAGGAATAGCTTTGTATAATTCAGTTTTCTGATTTAGTCCAGAAAATGGCAGGCATGAGGCTTGGGAATTCTTCCGGACTCTGACCTTTTCCACTCATCACTGGAAAGACTGGACCATCATAGTAGAAAGTTTAGAGGACATGCAATGTTTCACAGGTCCATTTTTTTCTGTGCATTTGCTTCTAAATTCTAAATCAGAAATTACACTATATCTTACCCTTTATCATCAGCCTTAGGTCATGATCATCTACATAAGGATGACATGATCCTATTGGTTCTTAAATATTTGTCAAGGCTGACCTTCATTTATTAGTCTTTCTTTGCAGTGCTTTGTCTTGGATCCATTTACAAGGTCAAGAAGTAGCAAAGGAGGCCAGAGAATCTTACATATTAAAGGTTGCTTGACCATTCTATGTTTGTGAGACTAAACCATGCTCCGTAGGCTTTTCAGTGACTGAGAATCCAAAAATGTGCCATCTGATCCTTCTTCCAAGATGTCCCTTGGGGAAAGTTCAAGCCTATAACCTTTCAATTAATTCTGATCTATTATAGGCTTTTCCAAATTCAGATGGTGGCTTGAAAAGTCAAATATCTGCTTTTCATAAAGATATCTTAAGTGTTAGCTTTACGGTAAGGGGAATGGAGTTGGCAAGTGCTGAGGTGAGCCTACATGATGACTGTACTTGTTCACTCCAGAATATCTCCAGCAGAATCTATGGATTACATCTTTCATTGTACATTGAATGCCTGTAGCTATTTTGATTCAAATTTTCCCCTTTCATAGAAACTCCTGGAATAATACTCTGTTATCTCATATTTATTAGACTCTATTTTACCAGGGGCTGCTCATTTATCCTTAACTCCCCCTCCCCAGTTCAACACTCTACTGAGTTGTTGTTGCTAAGTGCCATCAAGTTGCAGGCAACTCATAGCGAGCCTTTGAAAGAGAGTCCACAATGCTTGGGTGCCTTTCATCCTCTCTCCAGGTTCATAGGGTTTCTGGATACAAGCTATTATGGAAGTGGATGCCACTCCTCCTTCCTACAGAGTAGATAAAGTAATTATTTAAAGTTTAATAAGACACAGTTCTTGACCTTTGGAAGCTTACAATTCAGATGGTAAAAGATATGTATGCAAAATGTTTGAAATACACAGGGGTTGCCTTCTATTGAAACCTGAAAATTCAATCTTTTATCTTTTATAAATACTACCAATTGTTAATGACTTCCAATAATAAACACCCTGTCTTCCCTAAAAAACATGACTTCATTTAAGAAAGTCAATCTAGAATTCCTTTAAATATTGACACAGAGAAGTAATTCTTAAATATTAATTGACATATAAATCACATGCTTGCTGAAAGACAATTCTAACTACTTTCCAGGAGATGCTGATTCTGCTAGTCAGTGGACTGTGAGTGCCAAGCTAGGGAACATACTTTAGGCATACACTGACACATTGTAAAGGGTTTAATGTAGATCACAATGTTGTTGTTGTTGTTATGTGCCGTCGAGTCGTTTCCAACTCATAGCCACCCTATGCACAACAGCCCTAAACCCTGCTCTATCCTGCACCAACCGCACCGCCTCTGACACACCCATCCCAATTACCCCAGTCACCAAATCAATCCATCTCATAGAGGGTCTTCCCCTCCTGCGTTGTCCCTCAACCCTCCCAAGCATGATGTCCCTCTCCAAGGACCCGTCCCTCCTGGCAACATGTCCAAAGTATGTCAGACGAAGCCCCAGAATCCTTGCCTCCAAGGAGTAGCTTGGTTTAATCCTCTCCAAGATAAACCTGTTTGTTTTCCTGGCAGTCCAGGGTACATTCAGTACCCTTCTCCAGCACCATAGCTCAAAAGCATCCACTCTCCTTCTGTCCTCCCTAGTCATTGTCCAACTCTCTGATACATAACAAGCGATTGCAAATACCATGGCCTGTATCAGGCGCACCTTAGTCTCCAGAGAGACACTGTTGCTCCTGAGTACTTTAGAGAGGTCCCTAACAGCAGACTTTCCCATCACGATACGCTGCTGGTGCCAAGAGTGTTGACTGTGGAGCCGAGCAAACTGAAGCTGTGAACAATCTCAATCTCTTCGTCATCCATCCTGACTCTGCCAATTGGTCCAGTGGTGAGAATCTTTGTCTTCTTGACATTGAGCCTCAGTCCATACTGAAGGTTGCAGTCCTTGACCCTTCGCAGCAAGTGCATGAGGTCCTCCTCAGTTTCAGCAAGCAGGGTTGTGTCATCTGCATAACGGAGATTGTTAATAGACCTTCCACCAATCCTGATGCCACAATTCTCCTCATAGAGCCCAGCCTCTCGGATAATCTGCTCTGCATACATGTTGAAAAGGTATGGAGATAGGATGCATCCCTGGCGCACACCCTTCCCTATTTTGAACCATGCAGTGTTACCTTGCTCTGTTCTGACTGCTGCCTCTTGGTCCAAGTACAGGTTTCGCATTAGCACAATTAAATGTTCTGGGATTCCCATTCTTCTCAGAGTCAGCCACAGTTTGTTATGATCCACACAGTCAAATGCCTTTGCATAATCAATGAAACACAGATAGACATTCTTCTGGTATTCTCTGCTTTCAGCCAAGATCCATCTAACATCAGCAACAATATACCTAGTACCACGACCCCTTCTAAACCCAGCCTGGACTTCTGGCAGTTCTCTGCTGATGTGCTGTTCTAATCGTTTTTGGATGATCTTCAGCAGAATCTTGCTTGCATGTGAAATCAATGACACTGTTTTGTAGTTTCCACACTCAGTTGGGTCACCTTTCTTTGGAACGGGAACAAATATAGATCTCTTCCAGTCAGTTGGCCAAGTGGTTGTTCTCCAAATTTCTTGGCACAACTTGGTGAGCACATCCAGGGCAACATCTGTTATCTGAAATACTTCAATTGGTATACCATCTATTCCTGGGGCCTTATATTTTGCTATTTCCTTCAAAGCAGCTTGAACTTCTTCCTTCATCACCATGGGCTCTTGCTCATATGTTATTTCTTTAAATTCCTCTGTATCTGCCAATTCCTTTCTATATAATGACTCAGTATATTCCTTCCATCTTCTTTTAATACTTCCTGGATCGTTTAATATTCTGCCCAAAGTATCCTTGATTACAGCAACTCTAGGTTTGAATCTGTTCTTCAGTTCCTTGAGCTTAAGAAATGCTGAGCGAGTCCAGCCCTTGTGATTTTCTGACTCTAGCTCCTCGCAAATTTCATTGTAGTATTTTGCTTTGTCATTCCGAGCAGCCTAAAAAAACCCCAAAACCAAACCCATTGCACTGAGTCAGCTCCAAATCAAAAAGATCTTCCATCAGAATTCTGTGGCTATCAATCTTTACAGTAGAAAACTGTCCATCATTTTTCCATGGAGTGATTAATGGATTAGAACTCTCGATCTTTCCGTTAGTAGCCTGATATGTTTTTCCATTACTTTACTAGTGCTCCTTAGATCAGGATACACACATTTAAAGATGGTGTATAATATGAACAGGTGAAAGAGACTAAACCCATGACTGTAAATAGGTTTGGCAATAGCATCCACTTCCTAAATAACATGCCTCTTGAAGCTCCATGAACTTTTATAAATGTCAATAGTTGTAGAGGGGCTTCAGGCCTTTTGTTCATAGGGTCTCTAAGAGTCATGCTCAACTTGAAGGCAATCAACAATAACATTAGTATATAGAGCTCTCATTTATGTTAGTATATAGGGAACTCTGGTGGACCAGTGGTAAGAATCTGCACTGCAATCCCAAAGGCATGCAGTTGGAATCTATCAGTAGCTTCACAGAAGGACTGGCAGTCGCAGCTATGTTTTGACTGAGTAACACACAACTGTTGGCCTTTTGGTTGGTAGCCTGATATGTTTTTATTACTCTACTAGGGCTCCTTGGAATCAAATCAGGATATGCACATATAATAATACATTAGTATATTACATTAAATGTATAAAGAAACATATTATTACATGCTGTAAATACAACAGGGAGCAAATGTATATAAACTTTTTAAATCATAAACCATCACCCTTGATGAGTAGTGACTGAAGGCTTAAAAGCTTGTAAGTAGACATCTATGAGGCGACTATGGTTCTTTCCTTGTTCAGAAAAAATATAAGAAAGAAATGAAGAAAATATTCATATAAAAATTAGTCCAAAAAGCTAATAAAATACACAAATATCAACATTTTCAACCCTGAGACCAGGAATACTCACTAGATGGATGTCCAGCTACACCTGCTGACCACTCAAAAAGTGAACACAATACAAAATCCTTAAAAGAATGGTGAAAAATAGGGACAAAACTCAGAATGGACCTTTCTCACCACTAGGCCACCAGAGGTCCCTCAAATCTCAAAATGGCCAGGAGTATTGATCTGACAGAACTGGTGGAAACCCCAAGGCTATATCACTCTTGATTATACTTTTAACCTAGTCCCCATGTCCCAACTGGTGGTCAAAAAATAGACAAGCCTAAAACGTGAATAGTAACGTTAGGGTGTCACTCAGTCCTTAGGATTATCAAGCACATAAGACCCAAGGGTTGTGTTTGTCCAGGGATAAAGCTCAGAAGGCAGGAAGGGGTAGGATAGAAGAATGAACGGAAACATGGGGGCTAAGTGGGAAGTCTGAGGTTACATTACGTGTGCTGTAATTAATGTCATAAAGCAAAATGTATGTAAATGATTTAATGGAAGAACACGCTTTGCCAACTGTCACTCAAATCACATTTGAAAAAATAAACCATAAAGATGTTAAATAGTTCCAAAATATTCCAGAGTTTTTGCAGTTACAGTTTAGGCCTGCATTTTGCAGCTCCTCTTTAAAAAGTGTTTGGATTCTTACTCTATTGCTATACCTAAAGATAGATGTCATAAAAAACAACAGAAGATCCACAATTTCTTTTGTGAGCTATAAGCCACTTCATCCTTAAAAGAAAAGAAAAAGCTATAGCATGTTAAAATCACATTGTTTTAATAAGCCAATTAAATTATTATATGACAACTTAAAAACCATTTAAGTAAATGGAATCACTCTCCTGGTTTGCCATGATCAATTCGAAAACTGAAGCATCCACTTCTGCCCCATCATTTAGAATTCAGACCAAGTTTTTCCAAGACCTTCACTCTAATCTGGCGAGTTTTCACACAATATACAATAGGGTTCATCAAAGGCGGCACCAACAAGAAAGCATCGGCAATCAGAATCATAGCCAAAGGAGACTTATGTTTGGCAAAGCGATGCATGGTCGCCAAGGTGATGATGGGCACATAGAATATGAGCACAGCACAGATGTGGGAGACACAGGTGTTGAGAGCTTTGAGGCGTTCCCCATGTGATGCAATGCCTAATACAGTCTTTAGGATGAACACATAAGAAATAGCAATGAATACACTGTCTGACATCATGCAGAGTGCAACAAACAGACCATAGTAAAAATTCACTCTATTGTCAGAGCAGGCCAGCTTCATAACATCCTGGTGGAGACAGTAAGAGTGTGATAACAAGCGCTTTTTGCAGTATCTAAGTCTCTTTAAAGTAAACGGAAGTGGAAGCACAAGGAGAATGCTCTTAACAGCAAATGCCAGTCCAATTTGCACAACTCTGGAGTTAGTGAGGATAGAGCTATATCTCAGAGGGTTGCGAATGGCTACAAAACGGTCAAAAGACATGATCAGCAGCACTGAAGACTCCATGTCTGTAAATCCATGGATGAAGAATTCTTGGGCAATGCACGCATCAGCAGAAATCCCCATGGCATTGAACAAGAAGATCCTCAGCATAGTGGGGAGGGAGGACAAAGACAGGCCCAGGTCAGATAGGGCCAACATGGAGAGGAAATAGTACATGGGTTCATGCAGAGAAGACTCCGTCTTGACAACAAATAAGATAGTGCAATTGCCCAGGATGGCCACGAAGTACATGAAGCAAACAGGGATGGAGAGCCAAATGTGTGCATGCTCCAGTCCTGGTATCCCAAGTAACAGGAACGTTGAGATTTCAACTTCTGAAATATTGAGAGGGAGCATCGTAAGTAGTTCTCTCATTTATCTGCTCCTGGGTCTGTAGTAATAGGAACAACAGACAAAAATTCTCTCGGTTTTATCTACTGACATTTCAGATGTTCAATAGATTAAATATATTTCTAGTCTTATATATCGAGCTTTATATAATACAGTTTGTCCTCAAATATCAAGATACTGTATCTATCAGTGTACTGTAATTTCAGCTACATAAAAAAATATGGAATTGATTCAAGCTATTCTTGTTAGGCTATTCATATTATTTATTTAAAGTATTTTTGTTGTGATACATACATTGTTTTCAAAACTACTACTTATGAAAGCTTATGCATCAAATTACATAAACTGGAATGGGCTGAGATCTGGAAGTCTTCCAGTGTCATCAGTTCTTAGGAATTCACATAATCACAAATGCAGTGGTAGCAAGAAATCTAAATCTCTCTTTGTTGTTTATAAGATATGTGCTTAAAAATATAAAATCAGAATATAATAATGGTTGACAAAATAGGATCTGTGACCACAGTCCGTTTCTTCATAAAAGTCCATAGATTAAATAAATAAAGATAGATTTAATAAATAAATAGATTTATAAATAAATAATAATATAATCATATATAATTATATAAATAATAATATAATAATTATAAATAATAATAGATTTAATAAATAAAGTTTTGTTGGCTTTTTTGTTTGTTTATTTCACAGTTTACAAGATTACATTAAAAGAACAAGAACGAGAAGTAGTAGTGACAAAAATGACATTTGACCTTAAAAAATTTTAAAGGTCTTAATTTCTAGTCATTTGCAGGAAAAATGTGCTCATCAGTGACAGAAAATGGAAAATGGTACATAAACACACACACACACACACACACACACACACACACACACCCCAGTGCAATACCTTGTTAGGTACAATTGAGTGGACTCTGTGACCAATTTGTACAGCAGATCAAAACCTTGTCCTATCCTACACCATGCTCATAATTTCTGCTCTTCCTAAATCCATTGTTTTAGTCACTAATCAATCTATCTCACAGACAGTCTTCTTCTCCTTTGCTGATCTACTTTTATTCCATAGACTTTTCAATGATGTTTTGGAAATAAATTGTCAGGCCTTTCTTCCAAGGCACCTCTGTGTAGACACCAACTTTTTTATTAACTCTGGTAGTGTAGTTTTATAGCATGTTTCGCTGCTCACCACAAGCAGATTAGTAACTTCTGGTAGTTCAAATGTACCAGCTTCTCCTCAGGATAAAGATGGACACAGCCTCATCCCATTGCATTATACAGCCTCAGAAATCCAATGAGGTTGACTCTGAGTCAGATTTAACTCCATGTTAGTGAATAAAAGGGCTAACCATTGCCCCTCCCAGGGGCCTGGGATCACCATGATTTGGAATTTACTCAAAGGCTGTTATGCAAATATAAAGAAAAACCCTGTCCCATTAAGAGTTCTAAACTTTTTCTCCATTATCCCTGCCCAAGTATAGTTTACCTCTATGGCATCAGGTTGATCCCTAAACATTTCAAAGTCTCTTTTGAAATAATAAAATTATCCTAGGAAATATGATTTGAATTTTTATCATACCTTCCAGTGTCTTGCTACCTTTTCTCAAAGCAAAGGTGGAGAAGCCTAGAATTCCTCAGTACTTCTGTTTCTTTGTTCCAGCACACTGTTGGAGACCAAAATCCTATTTATATCCCCATATTCGCATCCTAGCATGGGTAATATTCTCCTGAGAATTCACAAACACCTAATCCACTGGGAATAGTGACTTAATGCACTTCACCAATGTCTTTCACTAAGGGGCTTTCTAAGAAAATACAGAAAGCAAACTTTAATGTCATATGTTCATGACTTGGACTCTTAAAGCTTTGCTCTGACAAATGAATACAAATTTTAACTCATTTTGAAAAATTGATCTCATTGACAACAACATATCAAATTGTGGCTTCATCAAAGATTCAGAATATATATCTTAATAGAATCCATCTAAAACTGTCAGAGAGCAGTGATAGAACTTAAACTGAATGACCCTGCATGTGTTCTATTTGGCCATTGACATGTCTAATCAAATTTTTATCTATATAGTTTTCGGTAAATCACTAATTTTGTGTGCTGTTAATTCTAATTCATAATGAACTCATAGGACAGAGTAGAACTTTCCTGTAACATTTCTTAGACAGAACTCTTTATAGGAGAAAATTACTGGGATTTTTTTTTTTCCTACAGAGTTACTGTTGTGTTTAAACTACCTACTTTCAATTAGCACTCATGTGCTAAGCAGTACTACTTAGGTGGGTAATAAGGTGTAATATTTACCATAGGTTATTCCCTTTTCATTTTGACTCAGTCTTTGCATATTTATTATTACTGAGAAAAACATCTCACAAAACCTGAAAAATGAAAGCCAAAGATTCCAAACATCTTCAAGTTTAGAAATGAACGAGAAATTTTACCAGGCCAACCCGCAGCATCATAATGGATGGAGAAGAGATGTGGATTGTTAACTATTTCATCTTGGTCAGGTTCACAATCAATACTCTTGGCATTAGCAGTCAGAAAAGAAAAAGATGACTTGCTTTGGGAATGTCTGCTATCAGGGACCTCACCAGAGTTCTAAGGAGCAATGATGTTAGTCTAGAGACAAAGATGTGTCTGATCCAAGCCATGGTATTCTCAATTATTTCTATGCCTGCGAGATCTGGACAATGAATAAAGATGCCTTTGAGTTTTGGTGCTGAAGAAAGGTATTAAACATACCATGGATTGTCAAGAGAATAAACAGGTCTGTTCTGGAGAGAGTGAAACAAGGTTGTTTTTTTGAGGATTTTGAAGCTCTATCTCAGATACTTTGGGCTTGTGGCCAGGAAGGAACAGTCTTTGGAAAAGAACAGGCTTGGGAAGAGTGGAGGGTCAGCACAGGAGATGAAGACCCTGAATAAGATGAATTGACACAATGACTGTGGCAATAGGGGCAGGTGTGTCAGAGACAGTGAGATCAGCTCAGGATAGGGCAGGGTTCAGGGCTATTGTTTATAGGGTTGCTATGAGTCTTTAGGACTTAACAACAAGGTCACAAACATTCCTTCAAGTTTAGAAATGAATAATTTTTATCCAACTAAAATATATCTAAAAAGAGAAGTTAAATAAAGGTATAATTTTCATGGTGTGCTGTAGCATCAAATCTGAATTTCAGATAATAAGAATAGAAAATAAAAATCCAGAAAAGCACATTCCACTAATAGATCTTTAAACTGGTCTTCTTTCTCCGCAATAACAGTAACTATAAAGATGATAACTGAGTAGGATGGCTTTAATTACTTTACTTTTTGTTGTCATTATTACTCAATGTTGGATAAGTACATTTGAGCCTGCAAGGAGCAAGCTGGCCCTAGACTTCCCCAATTCCACATTTCTTTGCCTCCAGAGTCCAAGTGTCCAATGACAGAAAACCACAGACACACCTTTATAGGAGGATATGTTACTTTGCTTTTTGGGTTTTGTTCTTTGAAGACCTTGAAAAAAAAATTTAAAAATTATGATATTAGAGCATACAATTGACAATTCAGGGCTTACTGTGGAAGCCAAGTGGTCTCTTTAGAATTTTAAGGGAACATCTTTCTCCATAGATTATATAGCCAAAGTTTACACAATTATAAAAATATCAGTCTCAAGACTTAATGGAAAAGGAATGAAGAATGAATTGTTGTAGGGATTAAAATCTGTACTCTATAGCAATAATTGCTATGTTCTGTAGATTGAATTTGGCAGCAACTAATGCTACTATGGAACTGGGCTCTCTGAAAACTAGGATGATGATGGGATTCTAAAGTCATGCTGCAGAACTTAACAACCAGAACTAAGGTCACTGTAATTATTTGTAGGAGGCCACAGGTTAGAAAAGACAATTAGGGCAAAGAGCCACAGGGAAATACATGGCTTCTAGACATTACTGAATGGTTTAGAATTGAACAAGGGCTAGTACAAGCAAATTTTTTTAATATGAAAGATAAGTAATCTGGTTAATGCAGAAAATATAGTAGAGAGAGAAAAATAATTTCACCTATACAAGACCATGTATTACATTTCTATAATATGTATCTAAATATTCACCCTATAGCATGGATATTTTGAAACCATTCAACAGAGGAATGGTATTTTAGGAAAAGCAATCAAATTAATCAATATACTGTTTGTCTCCTTTGAAAAGTGAACAGCAGGCTTGTTGACAAAGTTTCTTAGACTAATTCTGAATTATATGCATAATATATGTGTAATGTGGATGCGTAATTTATGCAAGATTTTCACTGTTTGGAAACATAAACAATTCTCATGTGCATTAACTTATTTGCCCTTTAGAATTATCATTCTTTAGTAATTATTCAGATGTAGAAAACTCAGGTGGTTACATTTGAACTGCTAACCAATAGATTGAATCTACTAGCTGTTCCTTGGAAGAAATATAAGTAGTTTTCTAGTGTTAAGATTTACAATCTCAGAAACCCAATTAGAGGCTTGCTCTGAGTTTGATCCAAGTAGATAAGCAAAGTTTGTTGTTGCTTTATTTTGTTTTGTTTTTGTTGTTATTTGTTTTGGTGGTGTACTGCCTAAGTTCTCAACAAAAAGATCCATGATTCAAACCCAGAATCTACCCTTCAGCAGAAAGATGTGGCAGTCATCTGTAATATTTAGATTCTTGGAAATGGAATGGGACATTTCTGTTCTGTCCTGTGGAGTCACTATGAGTAGAAGTTAATTCAATGACAATTGGTTAAAAGGAGTTACTAAGAAGAATTGAAATAAATAAATACCAGATGATCGATAAATTACATGCTTTTGTCTATTGAAGGCATATCTAGGGACTGTAAGAACAATTACCCCATCCTACTAAGGTACTCATTCCTAAATGGCTGTATTTCTACTCTAATATAGCTAATAATTAGATTTGAATTTGCTTCCGAATTAAGACTTTGATAATAGCCTTGCGAATCTGCTTGGTCTTCACACTGTAGATAATAGGATTGAGTACAGGAGGGATGAGCAGAAAAACATTAGCCATGATGGTGTGAACAAATGGAGGAGCTGAATGGCCATAGCGATGGACAAGAGATAAACTGATGAGGGGGATGTAGAAGATGGCAACAGCACTGATGTGGGATATGCAAGTGTTGAAGGCTTTCTGCTGCTCCTCTGCAGAAGCAATGCTGAGAACAGAGCGAATGATTAAGACATAGGACAGCAGGATACAAGGACAATCAAACCCTGTTGTGGAGAACAGTGCAACCAGACCGAGAATACTGTTGACTCTGTTGTCTGTACATGAAAGTTGAATGAGATCAACATGGTAGCAGTAAGAATGTGAGAGGACCATAGACTTGCAAAAAGACAGTCTCTTGACAAACAGTACAACTGGCAACATAACAGCAACATTCCTGATCAGCATACTTATCCCAATCTGGGCAATCCTGGCATTGGTGAGGATGGTGGTGTAACGCAATGGATCACAAATGGCCACAAAACGATCAAAGGCCATGGCTAGCAGAACTCCAGACTCCATAAAAGTAAATCCATGGAGGAAAAACATCTGTGCAATGCAGGCATTTAAGTTGATCTCCCGAGCTTCAAACCAGAAGACACCAAGAGTAGTGGAAAGTGTGCATAAAGACAAGCCCAAGTCCGTGGCTGAAAGCATAGAGAGAAAATAATACATGGGTTCATGGAGGCTTGGCTCACGAAGGACCACAAATAGGATCATGCTGTTCCCAGAGAGAGCGATGACATACATGAGGCAAAAAGGGATGGAGATCCAGGCCTGTGCTGCTCTCAGGCCTGGAATGCCTGTCAGGATGAAGGTCAAGGTCTGAGCATGGGTATTATTGAGGGTCAACATAGTGAGGAACTGAAAAGACAGAGATAATTGAATAATTGTACAAAACCAGTTTAATACACACAGTTAATCTCTCAGAACTTCTTTCCAGCTCTCAGAGATTGACTGAATAAACTATTAGTTTACCCTCATAACCATTGTGGTGAAATGATTCTATAAGAACTTGAGCAGTTTCCTAGAGTTGCATACTTCTTTCTAAGCCTCTTGGTGTTTCTTATTTTTTCAAAATTAGAGCATTCAATGGAGTAATCCACATGTCATATTTTTAAAGTTAATAAATTCATAATCTTCTTTGTTTGGTGGTGACAAACATCACAAGTATATTTTCCTTGACCATAAAAATTCCTGTAAAGAGATAAACAACCTGATGAGCAATCTGATTTATAATACTTTTAAAAAATAATTTATTGATTCTGGAATTAACACTAACCTCATCAAATTTCATTTAAAATATAGGTTCTATTTTATTTGCCTAGAAAATATCAAGTAATCTAAGACATTCAGGGTTGTATGTGCATAGATAAAGTGACAAAAAAAATCTTAAAAAATAACTTGCTGAATGAAATCTTTGACATCTATATACACACACACACACACGTGTGTGTGTGTGTGTGTGTGTGTGTGTGTGATTTAATTCATACAGCAATTCGGGAGGATTAAGTAATGACTTAGTGATATCATTATAAAGCACTTATAATTGAGAGAGATCACTAAAATAAGATGGATAAAAGAAGAGTGGGAAAGAGAAGGGCAACAAAAGAAAAGAATAATGAGTTAAGGGAGAAAGAGAGATAGAGAAAGAGAAAGAAAGGCAAACTCTAATTATTATAACATGGAACACACAGTGCTCACCACAATGTATTAAATGGTAGTACAGACTGCTGTTAAAATAGAATCATATTAGCCAACATTTGTGAGACATCTACTATGTACCAGATGCAAGTGCTTTACATTCATAATCGTATCCAATCATCACATTTTTCAAGTAAATACAATTATTATTCCTGATTTATATATACAGGAACATGGATGCTAAAATGACTAATTTGCTCTGAAATACACAGTTAAGAAGTAGAGAATCTGATATTGCAACCTTGTATGCTTAAGGTCAGCACACAATCTATCTCTAGACAAGTTTTACCAAAGAATGAATGTTTGTTTTGTTTATTGTTTTTGTTTTTTAATTTTTTTATTATTAATTATATTATTATTAGTATCATTAATTTCAATGAACATCTAAAGATATTTTGGAATTCCATTCATTCATTGTTGCACTTTTCTCCCCAACCACTCACCCCCACCCCCACCCGCAGTTCAGTCCTCTCCTTGAAAAGCAAAAGAAAAACTCCTTCATTGGTACACAACCCCCCCCCACAACACACATCCCTACTTCTACCCCAAGTATACTCCACTCTGCAACCCTCATTCCAGACTCTTATGATAATCATAATGCCCTAAAATATATTAATTTTAAACTATTCTCTCTTGCCAAAGAATGCTTTTAAGAGGTGTACATTCACAGAGAAACACTTTTGCCAGTATAGTGCCTTTAGACTAGATTTCCATGTTTCAGATGTCAATTCCGTGTGATTTTATGCCAGTATTAACCCTTTTAGCTTTCCTGTTGTTTGTTGTTAAGTGCCATCAAGTCACTTGAGACTCATAGTGACCCTATGTACAACAGCTCTGAACCCTTCTCTATCTTGAGCCAACTTCATTGTCTCCAATTCATCCACCCCCTCAGTCGCTGAGTCAATCCATCTCATTTTAACATTGATAGACCCTATGAGCAGAGGACTCAGGTATTTAGGCTCTATCCATTCTATCCAAACACTTCAATACTAAAAATCAACTCATTGCTTTGGAATCAGAACAAACTCATAGCTGAACCTCTAGAACTTTCAGAGGCTGTAAATCACATGAGAGGAGACTGCCACTTTTTCTCCCTCTGAGAAGCTGCAGATCTGAGTAGCTTGCCTTCAGGCTGGCAGTGCAACTCCTTACTCATCAAGTCACCACAACCTCAATTCGATGGGACTTCCAAATTCAAATCACTTATCTCATTGAACATCTCATGTATCTAAATTTTTCATATACTGCTAATTACGCCTTTCATATTAAATTTTCCTCTCCCTGCATACTATATGCCACAGGGAGCCCTGATTAGTGGTAAAGAGCTGCACTGTCAACTCAAAGGCAGAGAGCTTGAATTCACCAGCTGCTCCACAGAAGAAAGGTGAGCAAGCTCTTCCTGTGAAAGCACAGCCTCTGAAAATCCGCTGGAGGGTCAACTACAAGTTGGTTCTGACTCCACAGCAATGAGTTAGGGGTGATTCTCAGTTACCGTCAGCTGTTCAAATCTACCATCTATCCCACAAAAGAACAGCTCTGGTAAAATTGCAGTCTGGGAAGTCCTTAAATGCTGGAAAATGAAAACCTCAGAAAACTTAAATAGAACACATGAGCATCAACATTCTAGGCATTAGTGGGATGATGTGGACTAGCTTTGGCCACTTTGAATCAGATAATCACATGGTATGCTATGTGGGGAATGAAAAACAGAAAATGAATGGTGTTGCATTCATAGTCAAATGTCAAATTCAAGTTCCATCCTGAAGTACAATGTTGTATGTGATAGGATATCATCCATATTCATAAAAGTAAGGCTCATTAATACAACTATTATTCAAATATACACTTCTAAATCTAGAGGGAAAGAGCAAGAAATTCAATATTTTTACTAAATCTTGCAGTCCAAAATTGACCAAACATTCAGTCAAGACGCACTAATGTTGTAGATTTCCTTCTGATGGGCATTTGGCTATTGCTGTTGTCTAACGGTTGTCATTGATAATAGTTGCTGCAAATCAAACCAGGTCCAGGCCAATCAAACTCCTCCTCCAGGCCCCTCATTGTGGGAAAAATTGTGAGCTGAGTTTTCATGCAATTTTTACCTACACGTCTGTTTTCTGCTGATTGTATTGCTCTTTCTGTCTCTAAAATTTTCTGTGGTGGCTCCTAACATGGATCAAAGGTTTTACTCTGTTATAATGATAATGATGGTTGTCGTGGTGATTTTAGTTGTCTACATTGCAATGTCAACCTTGTACGAAGATTAGCAAAACTTCAGATGGATCCACGGCTTCCACAGGAGGAGGACTGCCAATGCTGATTCACCCAGGGGTACACAAACATTTAGAATGCATGACTCAAACCAAAGACAGTGAAAGCCCAAACCTGCCTACGATCTTGCATTAAATCTGATGCCTTTGGGCCTTTTTCAACCCCTTTGACCTTTGACTATCATTTTAAATAGAAATAAGCTTTACTTTTTCAAATAAGAAAAAGATGTGTTAATGAAAACTGGTGACTGGAATGCAAGTTAGAAGCAGTGAAGGAGGAATAATAGTTGGAAAATATGGGCCTTTGTGATAGAAATGAGGCTGGAAATAGAATGATCGAATTTTGTGGTTTTGATCATTTATTCATAACAAATGCCTTTTTTAAAAAAGACATAGATGATGATTTCATACATGGACATCACCTGACAGACTGCATAAGAGTCAGATTGATTACATCTGTGAAAGGAATAGTTGGAGAAATTCAATACTGGTAGTCAAAACTAGGCCTGGGATGGACTATAGGTCAGACTATCAATTACTCATTTGCAAGTTCAAACTGATGTTGAAGAAAAAAAATGAAAAATAAGTCCACGTCCTTTATCTATTTCATCTAAATTTCAAGATTATCTTAAGAAAAGATTTGAAACATTGGACATCAATGATCAAATGCCAGATAAGCTATGGTCACTGAAAAAAAAAAAAGAGAGAGATTAAAAGGTCATTACAAATAAAGAGGAGAAAGAAAAAAACGATGTGGATGTCAGAGGAGCATCGAGAAGACAAAACAAAGGGAAACATGCCTAAGTAAGAGCTGAACAGAGGATTTCAAAGGGCATTTCGAGAAGACAAGCAAATAATAGAATGTACAGAGAGCTGGAATTGGAGAATAAAAAGGAAGAACTTGCTCTGCATTTCTCAGCTAAGAGAACTGAAAACCAAATTTAACCTTGTGTGGCAATATTGAAAGATGCTATGGGGAATATTTTCAGTGACCCTGAAAGCATCAAAAAAAGAAGGAAAGATGGAGGGAATACACAGAATCAATGTGCAAGAAGAAGGAAACAAAGTCCGGACTGACGCTGAAAAATTTCACGAAATACTGTATGAGCATGTGCCAATGTTAATAAAAGAAGAAGGGGAAGCTGTGTTGAAGGAATTGGCAAAAAAATAGGCAGCAGGGGTTGATGGGATATCAATTGACTTGTTGTAATAAACAGTTGCTATGCCAGGGAGTTTGGAGAGCTGTCTGGCCAATAAATTGAAAGAGGCCCATATTTGTTCCAACTCCCAAGAAAGGTGATCCAATAGAAGGTGGAAATTATTGAGCAATATCACTAATACCACATGCAAGCAAAATTCTCCTGAAGATCATTCACAAAGAGCTCAAATAGTATATCGATAGTGAACTGCCAGAAGTTCAAGCAAGAATTAAAAGACACCCTAGTACCAGTGATATTATTGCTGATTTAGATGGATTCTAGCTGAAAGTAAAGAATACAAGAAGAATATCTGTTTTGTTTTTATTCACTATGCAAATGCATTTGACAGTGTGGATTGTAACAATTTATGACTAACATTGAGAAGAATGGAAACCTGAGAGCACTTAATTGTGCTCCTGTGAAAACTGTACATACCCCAGGAGACTGTTGTAAATAGAGCAATGGAACACTACATGGTTTAAAATTAGGAAGGGAGGGTGTCAAGGTTGTATTCTCTCTCCATATCTATTCATTCTGTATGCTGAGCAAATCATTTTAGAAGCTGGACTCTCAAGCTGGAATGTGGCATCAGGATTGGAGGGAGACTTATCAATGACCTGCATAATGAAGATGGTTCAATCTTGCTTGCTGAAAGTGAGAAGGACTTGAAACAGTTGTTACA